CATACGAATTCTTGAAAAACATTCTTCCGACTAGTGTGAAGTCCGAAAGATATCGTTCGTTAGTTTGTTTGTTGTTTTATTATAAATTGGTTTTAAAATTAATGATATATATTTTTTCGGGACTGATCTAGCACGTTGGTACATTTGGCTTTTTCAACTTAAAAAATATATAATCTTCCAAACATTTTTTTTTTTAATAGTGATATTATTAGCTTTACTTTGCAAGAAAAATTAAAATCGCGTATGTAGCCGTTGTGGAGATATACACTTAAATGTATTTTTTTTTATAAATTAATGCGCAACAGTAAGCTTAACATGTGTTCTAGTAAAAAATACCACAGCAATTCGCTATATATGTATATATATATAAATATATATAAATATATATATATATATATATTTATATATAAATATATATCTATACCTATATATAAATATTGATGGTTTTCCGGGATCTGCTCCGTGTTGTCGGTTTTTGGTTCTTAAATGAACCGTATGTCGGACGACGTTTCGGTACAATCTTATGTACCATCTTCAGGTCTTATGTGCTGGGCTGCTGTTGCTGCTCTGCTGCGAATTCATACATATAACGCCAGTGGAAACCTAAAGCAGCAGAACCGCAACAGCAGCCTAGTAGATAAGACCTAGGGTACATGAGATTGTACCGAAACGTCATCAGATATACGGTTCTTTTAAGCAACAAAAACCGACAACACAGAGCGGATCCCGAAAAACCATCAATACATATAACGCCCGTGAAAACCTAAAGCAGAACATTAATCTCGTTAATTTGCGTGGCGTTTTAGTGGTTGTGAGAGCTGGTTTTTATGCAGTTGGTAGTCTCTGTGTATCGTCTCTTATGTTGAGGTTTCTTGGCCCTGTGTTCGATGCTAGCCAAGACTGCGTTACGATGTTCTTCGAGTTTAACGTTGATACGTCTATTGGTCTGCCCCACGTAGCTTCCGTCACAATTCTTACAAGGAATTTCGTACACCCCTTGTGCCTCCAACTCTATTTTTGGTTTGGCGTTTGGAAGTATTTGACCGATCTTTTTTGGGGCGGTAAATGTTGTCTCAATGTTATGTTTTTTGAGAACTTTGCCTACTCTCTCGGTTGTCCCTTTCACGTAGGGAAGGAAGGTCTACGAAGTTGGTTTGTTGTATTAGTCCTCTTTGGTATTTAACCGGCGTCGTGGTCTAAGAGCCTTTTTGATGATGGTTTTGGAGAATACGTTTTGCTGTAGCCTCGTTTGGATTTTCAGATCTTCTTGTTTCTTGTGGTCATCATCCGCCAGCCTTTCGGATCTCGTGACAAGTGTCTTAATGACTGACTGCAGTTGTGACGGGTGGTGGTGTGACTGTGCTTCTGCCCAAGTTTGCCATTATTTTTCTTGATTATGAAGACATACAGAAAATGTAATTGGTGTTTTTTCTCGGTTTCCATTGTGAACTTAACCATTTTGGAATTCTGTTGAGATGGTCCAGGAATTTCTTCAGTTCCTCTTCTCCGTGGGTCCAGATGACAAATGTGTCTTCTACGTATCGTAGCCATAACTTTGATTTTAGTGTTGCCGTTTCAATTGCTCATACTACTATGTCTTCCATGAATAAGTTGGCTATTACTGGCTATAGTTACTGGCTATAATTTTCCAATATATATATTGAAAAATTGACTTTAAAAAAACAAGGGTCTTGGCTAGCATCGAATACAGAACCAAACGTACCATCAGTGAAGCCATTGAAATAGAAAAATGTCCAAAAAACCTCAACACAAGAGGCGATACACAGATACTAAGCTTACTATTGCAAATTAATTTATAAAAAATACATTTAAGTGTATATCTTCACAACGGCTACATACGCGATTTTAATTTTTCTTGCAAAGTAAAGCTAATATTATCACTATTTAAAAAAAAAATGTTTGGAAAATTATATATTTTTTAAGTTGAAAACGCCAAATGTACCAACGTGCTAGGGGTCCCGAAAGGGCCGGGATTGGAAAATGGGCTCGGGATTGGCAGCCCTAGTATATATACACCTTGTCTTTTGTAAAAGGTAAGCGATAGGTAATTTGTTAACTAGATTTATGTTAAGTAACAATAAAATTAGTAAGCATTACAAAACAACAAACAAAAAACTAGAAGCTTTTGAGGCATCAGTAAAAAACAATTGTAACATTAAAAACAATTGTAATCCAGAAAACTCTCCAGGTTGTTATATCCCATCTGTATCCGGTAGTAGTGCAGTTGAGGGTTTTGTATATGATGCTGATGTAGCTGTGAAATCACTCAAACCCACCTACCTCTTTTGATAAACCATTTTTAGATTTAGATAACAATTTTAGTGATGAATATAATATTGAGTTAACTTCTGATACTACATTAATTATTCAAAACAAACGTTCATACAAATCCAACTCATTTCCTGAACAAATTTCAAACTGGTCTGTTAATCATAACATTACGCAGGTAGCTTTAACAGGTTTATTAAAAATTCTTAAACCTGCACATTCAGAGCTGCCTGCTGATGCAAGGTCTCTTTTAAAAACTCGGGAGAGTAAAACCGCACTGATAGAACCAAGAGAGTATTTTCATTTCGGATTGGACAATTGTGTCCAATTTTTTTTACAAATTTGTTTTCAAGACCAAGCATTAGAAACTATTGAAATTCTGGTCAATATTGATGGATTACCCATATTTAAAAGCTCTGGTAGCACATTTTACCCTATTCTTATTAGTTTTTATGGATATAAAAATGTTGATTTAGCTGGGTTATATTATGGTGAACTCTAAACCAAACAATCCTAATTCATTCTTAAACCAAACAATTCTAATTCAATTTAATTTGTCGAAGAAGACAAGTTTTTTACCGAAAATGGGACTGTATTTCAAGGCAAAAGGTTGAATTTTAAAATTAAAGGGTTTATTTATGATGCTCCTGCAAAATCCTTTATTTTTTTACAGCTGGGCATTCAGGATACAACTCATGTACTAAATGTTGCATAGAAGGGCATTATGTTAACTTAGTGTGTTTTCCAGAAACTGTAAATTTAAAATTATGCTCAGATTTGGACTCGGAAAAAGCCGGAACATCATACAGGAATATTAATCATAGAAGAAATCCCGTGTTTAGATATGATTAAGTGTTTCCCATTAGACTACATGCACCTAATTTGATGGGTGTTGTAAAAAAATTGATTTTATTCTGGTGTGCAGGTAAACCTTAAACTAATTTGTCTCACCCACAAATTTTAGATATTTCTAATTTATTAAACATACAATTAAAAACATACCATCTGAGTTTAATCGAAAACCACGTCCACCAAAAGGTGGAAAGCAACAGAATTTAGACAATTTTTACTCTATACTGGGCCCGTAGTTTTAAAAAATATTTTTTGGTAAATACATTAATTTCCTGTGTTTACATGTTGGTGTAACAATTTTGTGCAGCAAACACAATATGACATTAATAGGTACTGAATATACCCAGCAGTTATTTAAATATTTTGTTGACAAATTTAAATTTGTAATTATTACTTTATATGGGAAGAAAAATGTGTCCCACAATATCCACAATTTACTGCATATTTCAGAAGAACATTGGATACATTTAGTGCATTTTGTTTTGAAAATGTTATGCAGAATATTAAGAAAATGGTCAGAAAAAAAGAAAAGCCTTTGCAGCAAATAATTAACAGAAAATCAGAGATAGTTTTATTTAAAAACAAATAAAACTACTAGTGGCTTCCCAAATTTAAAAAAAAAAGAATATTTTTATGAGGGTCCACTTTTAGAGTTTCAAAATTGTTCTGTCACTCACTTTAAAATAGTGGAACTTGAAAATTGTGTTTTAAAAATGTTTAAACTCGATAATTATTGTTGTTTAAAAGATAAAAAAATTGTATGTATCAAGAATTTTATTAAAACACAAAATGAAATTTATTTCTTTGGGGAAAAAGTTTTGGGAAAAAGCAGTTTTTTTAAAAGCCTTTAAAATCTGAGGAATTGGGTATATATTCGGCCACTCAGGACGTGGAGCTTAAGCTGTTTGCCTATAAGCTTGTCAAACTTAACTATCAAGAAAAGTTTGTATTTTTCCCTTTTTTACACATGCTTTAGCATAGATTGAAAATTATCTAGTTAATGTAAAAAAAAAGAAAAACAATACAGGTCCAACATAAACAAACATACATAAAACTTCTCCAGAACCTTTTGTCTTTTAACATTAACATTTTAAAAGAAGTTATAGAATATACCTATCTTTTGACATAAAAATTTTCTAAACAATAAATAAGTTTTTTAACCCTATTTTTTTGTAATTTTTATATTCTATATAAGATTATAAGCATTTTCTCTAAACATTTTCTAGTTATTGAAGTAAAAATTGCAAATATTAATTTTTAACACATCAAAACTCCCAAACCGCAAACTTTTTTTCAAGTTTTCTGTTTCTTTATTTGGTGCAGTCATAGTTTTTTAGTTTTGATCTAAGCACAATTTTTTAATCTGGGGGTATTTTTTTGAGCAAAAGTCAAAGAGGGTAGTTTTGATCTGTAGAAACTTTAATTTTGGATTTTCACCAGTCATTTCTTTTTCACTTGGTAAATTTTTTTTCTTTGTGTTACTTTATGTGTTGCATTTTACAATGGTTTAATCCATTTCTACATTTTTAATTTAGATATTTTTGATTTACTGTACTTTATAATATCAGGAGGTAGTAAATTAATTATTCTTTGACCTACATAATTTGTGTACTGTTGCGTATGGGTTACCATTAATTTGTTTCTTGTGATAAATATATTGTGTCGTACATTTAGTCTCATATTTGTATGTTGTGGTTGGGCTATTTTGAGATTGGTGTTTTTGTAAATAGTAATACTTTCCTAAAATAAAAAATTTCTTATAAGAGGGTAGTAAAACTGTTAAAGCCGTTTCATGATAAAATCTAAAGTTTTAACTGTAAAAGGTGGTGTTTGGTGGTGGTATTGTAAAATAAGTTGAAATGACAGAAGAATCTGAAATAGTCCAAAAAACTTGGACTATTGTTAAGTTTGTAGAAGAAGATACTGTTGCCACGGTTCCCACAGTGTGGATAACTAATACCGAAAATGGCTGGAATTGTTTTTGGCCTCCACTGCCAGCAAACAAAATATCGGTAGCTGTAAAGACTCACCAGATTAATACCTGTTGGCCATCATTTAAAGTTATCATGTTCAGAAATGCCACTTATGGTAAGTATGTTTTCTCTACAAATAACTGTTAACGAAACGGGTGTTTTTTGTACATTTCTTTGGCTAAGCTTTTGTTATTATTATTTTTAAATATTTACTTATATCAAAATTTTAATATTTTGAAATTGTTTGATAAAAAAAACAGATCCGAAGATGTGACGCTTTAAACATTTTGTTAAGTTATTTAGTATTTGGAATTTATGATTTAAATTGCTTACATGGGAAGTCACAGAAAAATCTAAGGCTATATTTGTTTGATTATAGGTCATTTTACTTGATTTTAACAAAAATGTACACATTATTTTAAATACACCTAGAATCTGATATAATTAGGACTTTTAATTTGTATATTTAGCCATATATGATAATGAAAATTTGGTACATTTTGTAGATGACTATCAACTAACTAAGAAAGGCTGCCTTAAAATCTTAAGAGACTGGCGATTTAAATGCCGATATTAATGTTCATCCCAAAAGAAAGAGAACCATAAGAATGTTAAGTTCTTCCTCAGAAGAAGACATTTTAATGAAAATTTAATAGGGGATCGTCCAAGGCAACTTATAAAAAAGGTATGTATGTATTAAGTATGTATGTATGTATTAAGTATGTATGTATTAAGTAATGTATACAAATATACAATATGGAAATCCCAATAAATATTAAAGATGTGTTCAGGCGTTGTTAGGTTGTGTCAAAATTGCTTTATATACCAAACTTGGTATACCAAACTTTGCCTCTCAATAGAAAAAACGTTCAATTTGTTTGTCCATTTTTTTAACTTTTTGTACAACGTATTTTGTTAATAAAGGCGATTAATTTATTGATACAAATTTGGCAAAAAAAAAATTCTTCACTATTTTCAAAATTTGGAACCAACTTTTCAATCACAAGGCCATGATCACAACCTTGAGCAAAGAAGTACATTAAAAGATATGGTCAAATTAATTGAAGATCTTTTATTTACTTTCATTTAGGTAATATCGATTTTACATTATTTTAGACAAGATGCTTAGTCCAACATAAAATTTGGGACCAACTCTTCAATCAAAAGGCTATGATAATGACCTGTTCGAACAGTGAGAACTTTGAGCAAAGAAGTACATCAAAAGGTATGCTTAAATTTGGAACCAACTTTTCAATCACAAGGCTATGATCACAACCTGTTCGAACAGAATGACAACTTTGAGCAAAGAAGTACATCAAAAGGTATGCTCAAATTAATTTAAGACCTTTTATTTACTTTCATTTATGTAATAACATATTTACATTATTTTAGACAAGAACCAGATGCTTAGTCCAAATGAGAGATGCAATACAAGACAAGAAGTTAGACAAGAAAATAATCCTGTTAATTGTAAGTATTGTCCTGTTCATGGTAAGAGATATCTATTTGAGATGCAGCATATTTTATTTTAGAAATTTAAGGTTCAGATAGAAATTTATTTTAATAGAACAAAAATGTTTATATTTTTTAAATACTAAAGTACTGTAACAAAAACTGTATATAATATATACTAATAATAATTATAATGTTCACTAATTATTTTTAGTTTATTACACAAAAGAAACATTAAATCAAATTATGTTTCTTAAAAGCCGAGTGAATGACATTCCCATTGAGCCAGTTTTGAACTCTAGTTTAAACCATTTAACTCAACAATTTGAGAAATCACTCTTTGAAAAGCCAGTGATAAATGAAGAAGCCCTCTCAGAACTAAATGAAGCCTTAAAAAATGCGGAATATTTTGAGAAAGCAGTAAGTTATCACAATTAAAATTTTAAAACATATCAAACTTGGTAGTTTTTGATTTCTACAATAAAAAATTAGTTAATTAAAACAGCTTCTAGTGACATAAAGCTTAACTTCTTAATTTGACATTTTTTAAAAAGAAATATTAAATGTGGACACAGTTCCCTATTTATTATCCATCTTAATTAGTTATTTGGTGCTGCATGAATGAACAATGCCCTTAAATATTTAAATATTATTTTAGGTTAATGAACTATCTAGAATAGGAGGAAGAAACATTTATGACTTCTGTGTTAGATGTTAGCTAACCAATATAGTTGGCTAAACAGAAGAATTAAAAAGAAATTCAGCGAAATGGAAGTCTCAAAGTTAATTATGGGTGAGGATACTTTTTAAAATGTAGCCATATGGATTTTGAAATAGGACAAATTGGCATAAATAGAAAAATTGTTTGAATTTTCATAAAGGCAATTTACATTTTTGTGGTTTTTATAATAATTTGATTTAAAAGATTAAAACATTTGAATAATTCCGAAATATTGATTATTTAATGAGTTGAAGATTCACTTTTTCAAATTCAATAATATTATATTTTAATTAAATAAATTGAAGAAGAAAAAATTCTGTGATTTTTTTAAATTTTGAAATTATCTACATGCACATCAAAAAGATTTTAAAACAGTTGTATAGTATTATTTTAAACCAAAATAAAAAAAACTTGCTGGGGGCAAGGCAAAGGATAGAAAGGAGATAGAAGAAGCAATCTTAGTCCAGTCATCTAGGCATTTCACCTCGAAATCTAACGGAATAAGCTGAATTTTTGTACAAACCTTTATTTTAGCATTGCAAATGTTGTCTCAAAAGTCACATATGCCAACGTGTGAGCGGCCTTAGATATTCAAGGTCAAAGGTCGCAAAAATCAATTTTTTGAGAATATATCCTTTTCTGTGCCTCCTATCCGTATTTGCATTTATTATACAAGTTGTAGAGAATAAAATTCTCTACAAATTTTGTTCAAAACATTTTTTTATTCGTCTAATCGTTTTTGATCTCGGGATTGACACCGCTAGACCCCGGGTAGCGACGCGTTGCTACGGCCCTGTACATGCTTTGTTCAGTTGTTATAATAATTATTTAATCTAATTTTAAAATAATATTGTTATTGATTTTATAAATTTATTTTTCAGATGCAACTAAAAAACTAGGCAGGAACTATGTACCGGATTTCACATGGGAATTGGTCAAACGATATGAACGTAATTGCACAATTGCCGTTAGATTCCGAGGTTGATCCCTTTTTTTGACTAAGATGACTATACTATCTCTGGCTGGCTTAGAAGAGCGAATGATAGATTAAAATCAAAAAGGAACTGAGTTAATTTTGTGTTCAATTTTGAAATAAAAATAATACAAACCCCACCGATTCTAAGAATCTTTAGAGTCCAAATGAGAGATGCAATACAAGACAAGAAATTAGACAAGAAAATAATCCTGTTAATTGTACATATTGTCCTGTTCATGGTAAGAGATATCTATTTAAGATGCAGCATATTTTATTTTAGAAATTTAAGGTTCAGATAGAAATTTATTTTAATAGAACAAAAATGTTTATATTTTTTAAATACTAAAGTACTGTAACAAAAACTGTATATACTTGAATAATTATAATGTTCAATAATTATTTTTAGTTTATTACACAAAAGAAACATTAAATCAAATTATGTTTCTTAAAAGCCGAGTGAATGACATTCCCATTGAGCCAGTTTTGAACTCTAGTTTAAACCATTTAACTCAACAATTTGAGAAATCACTCTTTGAAAAGCCAGTGATAAATGAAGAAGCCCTCTCAGAACTAAATGAAGCCTTAAAAAATGCGGAATATTTTGAGAAAGCAGTAAGTTATCACAATTAAAATTTTAAAACATATCAAACTTGGTAGTTTTTGATTTCTACAATAAAAAATTAGTTAATTAAAACAGCTTCTAGTGACATAAAGCCTAACTTTTTAATTTGACATTTTTTAAAAAGAAATATTAAATGTGGACACAGTTCCCTCTTTATTATCCATCTTAATTAGTTATTTGGTGCTGCATGAATGAACAATGCCCTTAAATATTTAAATAATATTTTAGCTTAATGAACTATCTAGAATAGGAGGAAGAAACATTTATGACTTCTGTGTTAGATGTTAGCTAACCAATATAGTTGGCTAAACAGAAGAATTAAAAAGAATTTCAGCGAAATGGAAGTCTCAAAGTTAATTATGGGTGAGGATACTTTTTAAAATGTAGCCATATGGATTTTGAAATAGGACAAATTGGCATAAATAGAAAAATTGTTTGAATTTTCATTTTTTTATTCGTCTAATCGTTTTTGATCTCGGGATTGACACCGCTAGACCCCGGGTAGCGACGCGTTGCTACGGCCCTGTACATGCTTTGTTCAGTTGTTATAATAATTATTTAATCTAATTTAAAAATGATATTGTTATTGATTTTATAAATTTATTTTTCAGATGCAACTAAAAAACTAGGCAGGAACTATGTACCGGATTTCACATGGGAATTGGTCAAACTATATGAACGTAATTGCACAATTGACGTTAGATTCCGAGGTTGATCCCTTTTTTGACTAAGATGACTATACTATCTCTGGCTGGCTTAGAAGAGCGAATGATAGATTAAAATCAAAAAGGAACTGAGTTAATTTTGTGTTCAATTTTGAAATAAAAATAATACAAACCCCACCGATTCTAAGAATCTTTACCACGGAGCATGTGATGGCTTGGGAGGAAGCGTGAAAAGACAAGCTTATCTTGCTAGTCTTCAACGCTACAATGATAAGCACATCACTTCTGCAGTCATTATTTAAATGGGACGAAAATTCATTTAAAAAAATAGCATTTGGTTTTTGCTCTCAAGAGGAACATGATCCTCACGAACTAAAATTTAAAGTACGTTTTCAACAATCTGTTACTATAAAAAATACCCGCCAGTTTCACTATTATAAAAGTTTAGACGGTGTAAACTTTTTTCGGAGGATACAAAAATAACAATAAAATATAATAATAAATAATAAAATTTTTAAGAAAAAATAAAAAAAGTTACATGCTGCTGAGAAATTTATGGTATATTTATTTATAGAGTCAATCCAAATGAAAACACCAAAAATGAATTTAAAAGTGCGCTGCATGATTTTTTATTTTGATGAAAAAATTTGAGGATGATCTTTTAGGTGTCAAATATGAAAATCCGTTGCCGTTTTAATTTTTTGTTGCTTTACTTTTATTTGGCACCCCTTAGAAGTCTGAAATAGTGTCAATTTCTTACTCTCTTATAGTGGGCCAGAACTTTTTTCTGTGACAAATATTGAAATAATTTTAATTTTGTTTTACTGTCCAGTAAGTGTGTTTTCGATATAAATTATTATTATCCAATTAGTTAATCTCATAAAAGAATGGTAAACCACTAAAGATTCATGATAATTTGCCAATTTTTGTGATTTCTGTCTGGCTCCTGTGCCTATTCTACTGAATTTAGAAGGTTAATTTTTTTCAGGTATAAAGTACTTATACAATAGAAAACGTAACTATTATTTTAAGTTTCTAGACTATCAATTTCTTTATTAAAAAAATTATTGAAAATTGATAATTCTCAAAATTAGCCAATTTTGCCCTCAGAAATCATTATGTTGAGGAAAAAATAAAAATCTGAAACTTTCAGGAAATGTAGTCCCCACCTTCATCTTTTCAGTCCAGTTAGTCTTGTTTTGTTATTTTTATTCCTTTAAAAGATTTATTAATTTTTTTAATGCCCGTTTAGTAGCGATATTGTTAGTTTTATTTATAATTTAAAATTTAGATGGCTTTGACTTTGTCAATACATGTTTGTTAGAGAAATGTCAGAACTGTCAAAAATATTTCATAAATTTTATTTGTGCGTATTTAAATTGTGATTTCAAAAAGTGTAATAAATGACGGAGTGTTCGAGATTCATGAATTTAATTGCAATTAAAATTGCAAGGACATATAATTTTGTACCTCTTTCTTATAGAAAATATTTAAGTTCTGAGAAGTTTTAAATTGTTAAAAATAAGCAAAAACCAAAAAATATTCTAAATACACCCCTTTATTATAACATGTTTTATTTTAACCAGTTACCTAAAAACTAAAATTTAAAGAATTGTGTAAATTTTTTTCCAACACAAACATTTAAAATACATACATATAACCTTTAACTATTCAGTGCCTTACTAAAGGGATCAAAATAATAGAACAAGACTAACTTGGTTTAAATTGTGAAAGAAACCGACAAAAAACTGCTTAACGCATTTTTTATACGTTTAAATTAACTCTTTATTAATTTCACTTATTATACTTAACGATATAAACCATAAGGATCTTGAATATATTTTTTATCTTCTTTAAACACCAATTAGCCAATTAAATACTTCATTATAATGTATATAATATATAATCATATATATATATATATATATATATATATATATATATATGATTTTTCAATACATAAAATATAACATAACTACCAAAAATATCAGAACTGTCAAAAATGTTTCATAATTATTATTTGTGGTATTCCTTTGGTGATTTTAAATGTTTTATATATAACATAATATGACATATTATGTTATATTCAAAATTTACCAAAAAAATACGCACAAATAATATTTATGAAATATTTTTGACAGTTCTGACACTTCTCCACCAAACATGAAAGCCATCTAAATTTTAAATTATAAATAAAACTAACAATATCGCTACTAAACGGGCATTAAAAAAATTAATATATCTTTTAAAGGAATAAAAATAACAAAACAAGACTAACTGGACTGAAAAGATGAAGGTGGGGACTACATTTCCTGAAAGTTTCAGATTTTTATTTTTTCCTCAACATAATGATTTCTGAGGGCAAAATTGGCTAATTTTGAGAATTATCAATTTTCAATATTTTTTTTAATAAAGAAATTGATAGTCTAGAAACTTAAAATAATAGTTACGTTTTCTATTGTATAAGTACTTTATACCTGAAAAAAATGAACCTTCTAAATTCAGTAGAATAGGCACAGGAGCCAGGCAAAAATCACAAAAATTGTCAAATTATCATGAATCTTTAGTGGTTTACCATTCTTTTATGGGATTAACTAATTGGATAATAATAATTTATATCGAAAACACACTTACTGGACAGTAAAACAAAATCAAAATTATTTCAATATTTGTCACAGAAAAAAAGTTCTGGCCCACTATAAGAGAGTAAGAAATTGACACTATTTCAGACTTCTAAGGAGTGCCAAATAAAAGTAAAGCAACAAAAAATTAAAACGGCAACGGATTTTCATATTTGACACCTAAAAGATCATCCTCAAATTTTTTCATCAAAATAAAAAATCACGCAGCGCACCCCATTTGGTGTTTTTATTTGGAATGACTCTATAATAATTATTTGTTAATTTTAAAAGTCTTTATTTATGGTATATTTGTTTATAATAATAATTTGTTAATTTTAAAAGTCTTTATTTATAAATAAAAACAAATATTATCTTAATTTGTTTTAAATATTACATTAAAAAAATTAATTTTGTTAAACAACATTGTTTCTTATTGTAAAAGAGAGAGTTTATTTTCTAACAATACTGATTGCAGCCGAGGCCGAGTCTACAGCGCGCGGCAGCGCGCTATACCGACAGCGCTCGCGCTCGGGGATAAATAAATTCATTGTTTAAACTAATAGCGGGCAGTGGAATTTTCTTGCAGAATATTAAACTAAAGTGTACAATGCATGTAACTGAACATTTTTTTTATAATTTGAGGAAGAAGTCATTACAATTTTCATTTGTTTATTTAAAAGTTAATTAAAAATATGATAATAAATAAATAATTTCAAATTTTGAATTATTTTTCAAAATGTGAATAATAAACAATAAATCCTGAAAATTTCATTAAAATATCTCCAACAGTTTTTCTGAAATCTGTTTTAATTAAAAGTCTCCAAATGTTAAAATAAAAATTTTAAAAACTGTTTTAGGGTTTCATCATTGAAGGTGACTACTTTATCTTAAAATATAATAATTTGAATTTCACGATCAAGTGGGAAATGGGTGGTCCAGTTGAGGTGATCTTACTCTAGTATCAAACTTTAATCGTAATTTTTATTCAGTTATCCCGTCTTCTGGAGTAGATGGTTAAAACTAGTGAACATCATAGACAAAAAGGTCAAGAAGAAAAGCCAGAAAGTGAAAAACAAAAATTTTGGCACAATATTATCCTAAATTAAAACCCGATAAACATGTGTGTAGGCATGTTACATGTGATTGAGCTTAATAGAGAAGTACCTATATTTATTACTTTATACAACAATTTTATAAAAGAAAGTCGTTGGCAATTTAATTTAAAATCGAAATAAATG